TGGCCAAAAGTTCATCTGGTTTTCTTTTAGGATGGTATTAGGAGCTACAGAACATGTCTCTTCAGAACATAAACAATGATGGCTCTCCACAGTTTCCTGTCTTTTTTTTTAGCTCTATACAATGTTTGTATCCTTAATGGCCCTCCCAATCTCTTCTCTACTAACCATTCACACAGACTCATTGAGTAGATTAGTCACTGTTTCCCTCTACCAAATCTTGCCATAAAAATATCCTGTGATTATTCTCCAAACCACCTTTCCTCATTCTTTGTTCCAACAATTTCAACTCTCTCTTTCTGATTATTAGTATAACTGTCTTTTTGATCTCATTTTCATTAAAATTTTTAACTATTCATAAAGATTGCCTTTAATCAGTAGCATAGCTAGAGAAGGGCAAGAAAGGGGCAGTCCACCCCAGGCAACATTTTTATGGGAGCAGCACTTCTGGGTCTGCTGTATAAGTCTGTATAGACTGTATTGAAATAAAAGTGATTTTAATGTCAGGGACACACAAGTGAAGGACCTTTTCGATTTTGAGTAACTTAAACTATGGCATATGTATTTAAGTGATTGTTATCTTGGCCAAACAATGAACATTATCTAGTGATGTATTCAGAGCTGTTTTATCATTGTTGGCAATTTGAAATCTGTGAATGGACCTTGGGTGTGTTCTTTTAATGCTACAGAACTGCTGGGTGTGAGAGCAGCACCTTGATTTATCATATAAATTTCAGTTATTTTCCTTGACAGCAGTTTGTTTGAGGGTATGTGTTGCTCTATTTTCCATCTTTTGGGCCTGTTAATAGTTAATATATATAAATATATATGTATAAGAAAAAGTCATTGTGCAGTATGTTGTATCTGAGGGAAGGGTGTGCATCAAACTCAAAGGCTGCCCTGGGCAGCACACTGCTCTTAATTGTATTGTGTCATCTTTCAACTCAGCATACATAATTTTTAATTGCGAAAATTGGAATAATCTTTTTATCTTAAGAAAGGTAAAAATGCAGCTCAAATGCTGCAAAGATTTGTGCAGTTTATGAAGAAGGTACTGTGAATAATTGAATGCATCAAAAGAGGTTTGAGAAGTTTCACAATGCTCTACAGTTAGTATACGAACTTGAGAATAATCAACATTATATAGTGTAAGAGATAGCCAATATACTCAAAATCATTTGCACCAGTTTGAATATATTAGTTGCTTGTATGCATGGCTTCCACATAAATTAAGATGAATTGTAATGGCCAATAAAAAGATGAGGTATCAGCAAGTTGAGTTAAAATTTCAACCAAGTCAGTTGCATTCACTTTCATACTAATACACTTGGGAAAACATGAATTCATTTCTTATCCCTCCAGCTATGGGTTCACTAGACTGAACTAGCCTTGGGTGGCAAACAGTATAAGAGAAGGAAAACTCTGAATTCCAAACTAAGGAGAAAGAAAATGGAAAACCACTCCACTATTTTTCCCAAAGATGTATATCAATTAACAGAAAAAGATTTTGTGGAGAGCCTACATTCTGAAGGGACATGGCATTTTAAAAAAATAAAAATTGATTCATGACAACATAGAATTCAAAAGCACATAGGATAAACAAAATTAACTATTACTATTAATACCATGATCAAATTTTCATGCAAATAAGGTGAAGCTATGGTGTGACTGGAATCTAGTCCTATTATATGATAGAGGTCTGCATTTTAGCTAAAATAGGTATATACTTCTTACCAGTGCAAGACATTAGTGATGATCAAAACCAAAATTTTAAATGCTGATTTTCTAGGCATGCAAACTCTCTACACTTGGAACAATGCAATCTTACTGCTCTCATCTCTCATTATTTAATCATATGCACGACTAACCTAAGTTTATTAAATATCAGTATCATTTGTAGGAATGTTTTCTGTTGGCAATGAAAACTAGAATTTTGAATCCTAAATTTCTAGGCAGGCTGCCTGTTCTGGAAGATGAGTTTAACATAGTCATGTCCACATTTGAAAATGTGCTATAGAAGATAGGTTTAATAAATATTAAAAATAAATTCTTTTCTGTTTTCTTTTATTTCTTTTTTAGGCTCGGTCAGTTCATCCGAATCCCAGCCTGAGCTGCTGAAGGAAAAACTTGTGCGAATTTTCTGCGCTTGGGATTGCTATCCCCCATTTAAGACATTGCAGGGATATATTGGATTTTTCATTATGGATGCCTTTGTAGATCTGTTTATCACTTTATGTATTGTATTAAATACAGTATTCATGGCTATAGATCATTACGACATGCAAGAGCGTCTACGTGTGGCATTAGAAATTGGGAACTACGTAAGTAAAGTTTTGAAAATTCATCATGAAATGTTAACTTTTTAAATGTAAACAATAATTTTATCATTATATATACAAGCTGCTATCCAAAAATTGATTGATCAATCTGTTTAGCTGTCAAGTTACTTAAGGTTTTCCATGTCTTGCCAGATATTTCATGCATCTTTTAAAAACTTTCCATTATGAAATACAGAACATCGTTTTCTATCAATTTTTTTCTTAGGATGTCATTTTGCAAATTAATATCTGTGAACTTTGGATAGCACTTTGCATAATGAATAAACTCTCTTTGAAAATTCTTAATAAAGTGATATTTTTAAAAATTTCAACAATAATTTTACTATTATATAAATAATTTGTAATATATATATATATATATATGTAGGAATTAATGGATTTTTATTTATAATCTAATATTATTTCTTATTATAATAAACATCATATTTAGTGGATACACATGTTTGAATAGACACCTGTGTTATTTTTTTTAACTATTGTTCACTAAATACAAAGCCCAGGAGCCACTCATGGTAAAGGGTTACTCAATTGGGATGCTGTAAGGGCATACAGGGAGGGGCAAGGGTTGCATATTATGAGGATATGTAGGATAGATAATGGTTGACCCTTTATTTGAAGAGGATTGTAATGATCAGGGAAGCATCCTTTTAGGAGTTCATTCTACATTGCAACAGTTCTGGGGAAGAAGCTATCTGAATGGAACTTACTATTCACCAATGGAATGGGGACAAGCCACTTCAGTGTACATGGTATGACAGGTCCAAGCTGTTAAATTTGGACTGGTAGAACCAAGTAATATAGTTCACCCGAACATCTGTCAAGTAAAAAGTGACAGAGTAGTGAGAAGCTAGTACTGTTTCATTTGTGTGAAAGGAGTTGAATGGTGGAAAACAATTTACCACCCACAAGGCCACACAAGCACTTTTGAATTTAACTGAGGTTGGAAAGTGAGGCTCAGACAGCTCCAGCCCAGATATGGCAGCAATACTCTATTTTTTGTTTTATCTGGCTCTTGTTAAGATAGAACATAGCAGGGTGAGCCAGGTACCTTCTGGAGCAGTACAGGGAGCTGATATGTGGAGCATCTTCATGATGTCTAGTGTCATGTGACCTGGGTTATTTTTAATCAACACTTTGATTTGTTCATCATTAACAACTGCAGGTTGGCCAGAATGTTTTCAGTCTCCCAGATCAAAATTTCCACTTCTGATCCAAGTGAACCACTTCCAAGCTGTACTTTCAGCTATGACATCATCTCCATGTCTTACAGGTTTTTTCGCATCCAGAAATGAAAGCACATTAAATGATGAAAACGTATCTTATTTCCCTCCATTCTCACTTTTAATGTAAAAACATTTAAAATTCAGTCATACAGAAAGATGCATTGAAATATCACCTTTTAGAATATGTATATATTTCATAAGTTTCCATCACATGTGAAATGAAATCATGCATTTAAATGTGATTTATTGAAAAACAATATATACACATACATATGTGAGTGTATGTATATATATATATATATATATATATATATATATATATATATTTAAAAAAAAAACAGACCACTTTAAGGTGAAATAAATTATTATAATGGAACTTTAAAGTGGTCTGTTTTTCTTTAAAATATTAATTAGCTCTGGATTTGCATTGAGCTCTCAGGATTTCATCCTCCTTGGGACTACCCATACAGATTACAAGATTAACCATAGTTTTATATATATATATATATATATATATATATATATATATATATATATATTACAATCATAGCACCTGTCAAAAAATGATGGGGCTATTTACATAGACATAAGTACATCTGCTGAGGGACAGAATAATCTGTATGCTCTATCAAGAATAAAAGTGTCACTCCACAACATTACTGCTTATGATCAGAATGTAGTATCTGTGTACTCTATGAAAAGTGTTAACATACAAAAAACAGACAGAAACATACACATTGCATTTGTATGTGGTTAACTTATATCTGATAATTTATATCTACATATATAAAATGGAATAGTAATATATAGTATATATATATATATATATATATATAAGCAGTATGGACATAGAAATCAATACTGCATAATGACTAACAGTTGCGCATCTTAAGTGATCATCTGATCATATCATAGATGTCAACACTGCCAGGAGATTGGGACTTGTATATATACTGTTTTTATTTACTTATACTCTTTCTCCAATATTGAGTACAACTGATAAATATAGTAATCTTTTTGCAATGTATGTGTGTGTAATACTTCTCTATGTCCCCAGAACAGTCCACTACACAAAGATGGACAAATTACACATTTCTATAGAGTAAGCTCTTCTGGTGACAGAGAAATGCTACAACAATTCTGGGATTATATGCAAGAACTCAAATCAGATGTTGATAATCTAAGAGAAAAAAATTTATTTTAAGAAAATGTATCATCTTTTATACTAGTAAATACATTTGTGCTTTGTTAAAAAAAAAGTATGTTTCTTAAAATTGTTTCCTTAGCAAAGAATATTTTTACATAAGTCTTTTATTTTCTTCAGGTATTCACTGCTGTTTTTGCTGCTGAGGCATTTTTGAAAATCTTGGCGTTGGCTCCACAGACTTACTTTAAAGATCCATGGAACGTTTTTGATTCATTCATAGTGTTTCTCAGTTTAATGGAACTGGGTTTGGAAGGCATTCAAGGACTTTCTGTTTTGCGTTCATTCAGATTGGTAAATTTGCTTTTATTTTCTTACCATATTTTCCAAGACATTTTTGTTTCAAATTAGAAAATGCTTCCAATACCTGCCAATTTCTTTTTATCATAGACATCATCTAAAAAACCCCATACACAAAGCAAGCAAATTCTTTCATTAAGTAAAATTTAATAAAAAATAGTATTCTTAATAAAGTTACAAGTTCTATAGTCTGACCTTTTAATCTGACCAAGTTTTAATCAAAAGATTTTACAGACATGTATACATTAAATATATGTAAAAAACATGTGTATAAAAACTGAGCAAGAAATAATCTAACTGCATGCCCCCTGCAACTTATAGCATTGGAACCATGCCAGTCTAATGCAGGATTTGAGCCTGTATACTAGAGACAGACTTGAGTAACTTTTTACCTTTCACTCTCACTGCAGTCATTCCATTTATGATTAGTGTCCTAAAAGTCACAAAAAATTTGAAAATTTAAATATAACTGCCAAAAATAACAGCCATATTGATATTATATTTCATACATAATTGCAATTTGTCTTCAGTAAATTTTATTTAGAAAAATAAATAAATCAAAATAATATTTGATTTTTAAACCTGCTCATGACATTTGGAATACTATGCAGGAATAAAAATTATGATTAACTATTTTTAAGTTCAGTCTGATACAAGGTACCTATGAGGTTGAAACTCACTTCATTAAATTATAAAATATTGCTTCACAGCAAGATGTTCAATTACCAACTTAAACCAAGACAATAACTGAAGGGCTCTTACTAAGGATCAAATTCACTATCATGTAATGATCTGTGAAACTAGCTTGCTAACCATTGTTCCTCAGCAAATTGATTCTGATATGTTAAATTTGGAACTCACTACAGCTGATTTTTATTTAAAATTTTTGCTGTATACTGTTCAGTCTAGATGATTAATATGCACTTCTGAATTATGTCTGTTGACAAGGAAGGAGATGATGTTGAAAAATAATTATTTATTGTAAAAAAACATGCTTTTTTCTATCATTAAGCTGCGGACTTATTATTGATGCATTTATGCAATTTCAACTATTATGTTTTAACACCAGTGCAGAACTTTATGACCACATGGCACAATATACAAGATGGTGTTGAAAAATTCTCTAGCCTAACCAAGAAAAATGTATCTAAAGCCTTGAAATGTACATACTATTCTGCATATTCACCTGCTGTTCAGCACAATTAGCACATCATTTCTCAAGTATATTTAACCCTTCCAAAAAGATTCTGATGTTTGGTCAATGAAATGCTAATTTTAGGAAGTGGATCAGGCTTAGAACTTTTCATCACCCCCTTGTATATAAGTACCAAATACAAGTGCTGGCATGATTAAATTATTTCCTTCAGTTTTCTCCTTGTACAGTGGGTATTTGGTATGGCACTCTTCTTATTTTTCAAATAAATTTCTCCACAGTTCTATTATTTTGTCCCATGTTTATTAAATTTATAGAAAATTTCCAGGCAGAATATTTATTTGAAATGCTACATTTATTTTATAAGTTGAAAAATTCCCACTGGTAGAACTCTTCTAGAGGCACTTGTATCTGGTACACAAGAACTGAACTTTTATATAATCTTTAATAAATGCTTCTAACATTTGTATAACTTCAGTATTAAAAGCAGTTCAGGATTTTATAACCACTTGTACTTAGATATTTCACCTTCACATGGGAAATATGCAGTAATTTTGTTTGTTTTCTTTTAGTTATTCCTTTGTTTAAAATATGTTCGTTGTGCTTCTTAGTAAGTCTTACCAGAAAAGAACAAACATATTTTTCTCTCTCTCCTTCCAGCTCCGTGTCTTTAAACTTGCAAAATCATGGCCTACCTTGAACATGTTGATCAGTATTGTAGCAAGGACGATGGGTGCACTTGGTAATCTAACCCTTGTGTTAGGAATCATTGTGTTTATCTTTGCTGTGATGGGACAACAATTGTTCGGTGAAAGTTACGAAAAGCCCGAATGTTTTGAAGACAATCAAATCCCGCGTTGGGGTTTTCGAACCTTCCTGCATTCCTTCATGATTGTATTTCGAGTGTTATGTGGTGAATGGATCGAGTCTATGTGGACCTGTATGGAAGTGTCAGGCTATGCCTGCGTTCCTTTCTTCCTGCTGACAATGATCATTGGAAACCTCGTGGTATGTATTCATATATTCATAGTTACTTGCTTATATATATGATTATTAAGTTTTCATAGATGACCATTATGTTTTTCTACCTAACACCGGAGTGTAGTATCTGACCCTCCTGAAATGGAATCAGTTATACTTACTGACCAAGAATATTATATAATATTAAATGGGAAGGAATTTGGAAAATTGAATGAGAAGATGAGAAGAAAAAAAATTTTTTATTCCATTTTCACATATGAAATTAATCCACGTTTGTACAATATTTAGACAAAAATATTTTCCCTATGTAGAATATATTAGTCAGTTGTTAAATACATTCAAAATACATTCAGTACATTCAAAATCCTAGTGTCTTGATTGAAGATTTTGAACAGCTTTGGCTTCTTTAGTTTAATAATAAAGAGTTAAAGAATCTGAAGCCATTTTTGCAATTATCATTGTATAGTATTTGTGTATTATTAATGAGTATTTGATGTATACTTGTGGGGAGAATAGTATATGTTGAGTGTGTTTAGGCAGCAGTATTAAATTTATGTATTTACTGAAACACAGAAATTTAATAGAGCAATTAGAAAACTAATTAATAATGAAAACAAATCATGGTATCAACTAATAGAATATTCCCCTAGAATACCCAAATTTTATGATCTATCTAAAACCCACAAAGCAGGCATTCCAATGTGCCCCATTATATCAGGTATTGGCAGCACTCCCCACAAATTGGGAAAATTTTTAACCCCTCTCAGAATAATCAGCCTGTCACATGTTAAAAATTCAGGTAACCTGTTTAAAAAACTAAGGGGAATAAATATGACTGACAAACTCATTACTAGTTTAAGTGTTACATCAACATTCCTGATGTGGAGGTCTGTAAGTTTGTAATGTTACCAAAGTAGGGGTTTACTTGTTTACAGCTGGTTATCTTCAGATAACATCCTTAATAAAAAATATACATCAATTTATGGTTTTTAAAAATGCATACAAAGATAATTAATACAAAGATATATATTGCATGTACTGATAAAAATTTATATCTCTTAAGATAAAATATACAATATTCAAAGAGTTCAAGTTCCTAACAGAAAGTTCTTGTGTTGAAAGTTTCTAAGTTCTTTAGCATATGATAGAGAGAGAGAGAGAGAAGAGAGTTCTTGTAAAATGTATATCTATGTATGTAAGTATTTCTTGATAGTAGTAATCTTTTTGAATCTCTGTGGGATTCTTAGGTGTCCAAAGCTTTAGGAAATGGGATAGCAGGATAGCGGGAGCAGCTGGTCCTTTTGCTTGCTTGTCACTATCTACATTATTTACATTATTTGGACTATTGTCCTCATCTTTGTCGCCATATTTATTACTACATTTCGACCGTTGTATGCTCCGGCCTTCTTCAGGTGGTTGGAATGTCAAACATAACCCTTTATTTTGCTCACTTTTTGTTCCACATGCCATGTTTAATGGATGTCAGTTATCAGTTATCTCCTGTCAATTTCCCTCTGAAAGTTCTCCACTGCCTTAACCGGGTATTGAACTTGTAGAGGGGCCGTGGCGGTTACCACTTGTTGAGGGTTCATGGTGTGGCTGTTATGTTGTTGATAGAAGTCAGACGTAGAAGAAACGCATGTAAGGTTCAGATACTCCTGCCCGCTGAGCCCAACTACATAAAAAGGTTGGACTTTGATTAAGTCCAAAGAAGAAGGCAAAGAAAGCAAACAAAACACAAGACCGATAATATATGTATATACAAATATATATTAATAACAAGTTACAATACATGGAAGCAGTACAAAGGACGAAGTGTGTGTGAATATTCTGTATGTGCGTGCGTGTGTGAATATTCTGTATGTGCGTGCATGTGTGAATATTGTGCTTAGCGTGTTTCCACGCTATCCCTTGTTAGCGTCTACATTTCGAGGTTGATAGCTGAAATCCTGAAGGAAAAAGAGATAGAGGTGAAGGGTCAGCGGCTATTTATAGCCAGGGAAGAGAGACCCCTGGTGAAAGGGTTAACGGACTGAAGGAGGAGTTAACTCCGACAATGCCCCCTACCAGATTAAAAGTTGTAAGGAAATGAAAACTTTTAATATATAAAGAAAAAGGTTCGTGAAAGTTTGAATTTTGTTCTTGTGAGCTGAAAAGAAAATGTGTCAGAAGTGTGGTTGAGATGCGTGATTCGATGAAAATTGTGTTGTCGTCAGGGTGCAATCGTTGAAAATGTTTTTCGAAGCAGTGAGTCGTCTGAAAAAAAAAGTTTGAAGCATGGGAAGCAAGCGGTGGCGTGAAGTTGTCGCCACGTGTTGTAGGAAAAATGAATGTGCGCGCTTTTTGAGTTTCAGAATGGAAGTAGATGCAAAATGCTATGACCAGTAGCATGTGTTGAAAGAAAGCGGAATTTGCAAGATTAATAGCGATGAATTACGTGCATGCAAATCCTCAGTGATGTCACATCGCAATGGAACAGTGGGTCATCCAGAGAAAGTTGTAGAATCATTCCAATGAAACTTGTGTGTCGCTTCCATGTCGGAATCACCAATGTTGTTGAGAGTAAAGGACAGTGGTTCGCCTTTAGTGGTTTGGGTTCACACTTTATCTGTTTCAGTCCAGAAGAGGATAGTGTTGGTTGGTAGAAAAAAATGGCGTTGTTTTTCGTTTGGTACAGCCTTAAGCATGTCTGCTGGGCGAAATTAGGTCAAACGTCATCAAGAGAAAGAAAGGGTCAAGCAAATATAGACCAGTGGGAGAAGAGTTCTCAGGTTCGTCTTGAATAGTAGTAATTGTTGTTCTAGTGTATGGCGTGCGTAGGATTCGAGAAGAAGTTTTTTTAACATTTTCCCTATTTGGCTCTCTTTTTGGAAAGGTGTATGTATAAGAAATTGTTTGTTTTTGTACATATATATCGTCTTGTGTGTTTTTAGCAGGAGTTGAAAAATCAAGTCGGGAAAGTCACCACTTGTTTTGGGAATGTGGAATAAAGATGAAAGGAAAATGTACTTATGAATTGTTTTGAAGTCAGTTGTAAATTTGTTGTTGTTGTTGTTCCTTCCTACTCCACTTTTTGGGTTGAGTCAGTGATGGAATTTACTGTCAATCTTCTGTGATCTTTTGCGCCCTTCTCTGACTGACTGACTGACTGGCGACTGACTTGAAAACTCTGTATTTATTGTTGACTTTTTTTCACACTGGCTCGTTATCTTTTTTTTTAGTTTAGCAAATCGCCTCCTTTCATTGGTCAGAAAATTAATTTCACACCTTATTGTGAAATCTGTTTTTGGTCATTTTGATCTGATTTTGCAGGTGTGAAAATCTACTTTGTGTTTTTTTAGTCATTTGTTGGAATATAGGATTTGTATCCTATAAACTCACACTCTTTGGGGTATTGAACACACACTCTTTGGGCCCTGTCACTGGTTCTAACCAACACCTTTATCCACTGTGCCATGTGTCCTTGGCCAAAACGTAATAAATATGGCAACAAAGATGAGGAAAATAGTCTGAATAATGTAAATAATGTACATAATACCTCATCTCAGAAATATAGACAGATATTGTCACTATCTGTTTACATTTTTCTTTAGACAAAGAAATTCATTCCCATATTGTTTCTTGATTTTGATTAGTTCACAGAAATGACTCATTTGACAACCCCTTTTTCTTCACCTACATTTAGGAATGATAACCTTTTGGGCTTTTTTATTTATTTTTTCTTATCTTTTTGTTTTTATCTCTTTATGGCAGAACCAAAATGGTTTGCCAACTTTTCGCTTTCTATTTTTGATATAGTGAACTTTTTATTTTTTTATCACTAAACACATAACAAATACTTAATAAATTATGGAAATGATGGTAAAATTAATAGTATGTAAGGAGAAATCAAAAATATATGAAACATTTTGAGAGAAATAATTGGTAATGATAAAGGATACAAGAAAAAGGGTGAAATTTAATTTGAAGATAATTCCCAAAATGACTAAAGATCCAATAAAATAATTATGGTTTAGTTTTAAACTTCTAATTTTAATTTAATATTTAAAAAATTGCGATAATTGAAAAAATATTTTAATATAAGAAAAAAATTATATATGAAAATAGATTTCTGCATATTATTTTTTGGCTAGTTTTTCTTTAATCATATTTTTATGAGTTTTTATAATAAAAAATGAGATGAAATTTAAAAAATAAAAAAAATTATAACAAGATTGACAGTACCAAGAAATATAAATAACTGATTTTTATAGAATTTATTAAATACTATGAGAACAGCTGACAGGTGATTCTGTGCAAGGGCAGATAAGTTGCATTTGATTTATTACATTCAAACAGCAAGAAAAAAAATAGATGATCATTCTTTACCACAATTTTTCACTATGTCACATTGTAAACTGGACGTAATTTTTATTTTAAATTTTGATTATTAACAGTTAATTTTAATTGATAAATATAAATATTTAAAAAATAACAACTTTTAATTTACAAGTATAAGTATACATTGAATGCAAACTCCACCAAACAATAAGCCTGATGAGCCACATGAAAAAAACTCATCATCCGTATTCTGCCAGAGATAGGACAAGAACAGTGCAGATTCATTAAAGACACCAGAACAAGGAACATGATATTCATGCTCAGAATGTTATCAGAAAGAGCGATATAGCTGCAGAAGGATGTGTACCTATGTTTCATAGACTACACAAAAGCCTTCAACAAAGTATGCCACAAGGATCTGATGGAACTACTCAGCAACCTTGATATATTTGGGAGGGATATCAGAATAACTGAGAATCTATATTGGCAGCAAACAGCATGCATATGCATAGGGAATGAGTTCAGTCAATATACAAAAATAGAAAGGCGCATAAGGCAAGGATGCGTCTTCTCACCTGACCTGTTCAACCTATACAGCAAGGCAATTCTGAGAGAATTGGAAACCCTACCAGGATTTAGCATTGGCAGCCACAACTTTAACAACATAAGATATGCAGATGACACAGTACTGATAGCAGACACAGAAAAGAAATTTTTTATGTATACAGAAAAAGTCTATGAGTCTCATTTCAGAAAAATAAGTGCAAACAGGAAAAAAATCAAAACAAAAAATGTTTACAATAGGATAATAGATTTAAAAAATATTCATCCTATAAGAGGATCAGATAAAAAAAATATAGAATCAGGAATCTTTAAGATTTAGCATTTGACTTAACTCCTCCCTATTTTGAACATCTGATTTAGTCCAAACTGTTTTTATTTTCTGGTGCTATGCTTGAGTCAAAGATATTAATTCAGCAGGTAACACATAATAATATATCTCTTTATCTGGAGTGAAGAGGTTAAGAAAATAAACTGGTTTTAGTTTGATCTGAGATGGTAGGCTCCTAAATATTCATCTATTGAACAACTTAAGCAAAATGTCCAACTAATGTTAAAAATATCAGTGTTTCTCCACTCATAGATAATCTGCTTTGAATAGATTGCTTGAAGTTATAGGCAAGTTCTCAAACAACATTGACAAAGTGATACATGCCTATGGCAGGAAATATTGTATATTTACTTTGGGAGTGCAACTGGTTCACAAAATATTCCAAATGGTTAAATTCATTCTTTAATTGTTTGTTTGATATGAAACTACAAGCAAAATGCTTTTTTTGCTCCTAAATAATGTCACAAATTTGTTTATTTAGTATTTTATCATATTTTTCTACATCTGAACTAAATTTGCTGCTTTCACTTTTTCAGGTATTGAATCTCTTTCTTGCGCTATTACTGTCTTCATTTGGTGCAGAAAGCCTTCAAAGTTCAAAATCAGATGATGAACCAAACAAATTGCAAGAGGCTATAGACAGAATCGTCCGATTTACTCACTGGGTAAAAATGAGCCTCCTAAAATGCGCAAAGTACAAATTCAAAAAGAAACGACCTATAAACAGACCAGAACTTCCCAAAGTTGACATCAATGGGAAAGAAATAATTGGAGATGGACATGCCATCATTGGCAATGGAAAATTTGGAGAAAAACTTGACGAAAATGCTGTTACACCAACTAATCAGGGTAAGGCTTTTACTTGTCCCAAAATGAATTTAGTACTCTTTCTCATTTAGTGTCTTCAGATATTCTTTATATGGTAAGTTATACACCTATCACAATATCTGTATGAAATCTATCGAGAATGTATATAGCTATTATGAATACCTTGAAAACTGGTTGTGTGGCCTTAATATAACCTGGTAACTAATCAGAGGGATCTTACTACACATGTGTGAACAGATTTTTTCCTATGGGTTACTAAGTCAACATGAGACTGCGTAAACATGTGTTATATATGACTTGCATTTACAATGATAAAGTGAGTAGATTCTTCATATCTTGTAAAAGTGTTTTTTGGTAAAATATCACATCACCCAGGACAGTCAGCATCACAACAATCTGGAATTAGCTTTGTGATTTTAGGCTTTTTCCAAATTTAAAATTACCATTGAAATACCATGGACAGAATTAAGGGGAACACAATGAGGTGTAGCTGATAGCAATCCCAAAAGAGAACTTTTCAAACTGTTTTGAAAAGTGGAAGAGATGTTAGGATAAATATATGAGGTCCCAATGAAAATTTTTTGAAAAAAGACTAAAGTACCTTGTCCTAGCAAGGTTATTTTATAATTAATATCAAATACTAATTTATATAATATACAGTCATATACAATGTTGCTTTCCTTGATATTGTCAGATTTAAAATCACTCAAGGATCTGTTTTGCCTAAATCAGACTTCATTAAAAAGGACATTGTCACAGGATTTTTAGATTGGCCTACAAGTAGGGAATCAGGCCATATTTAAAGGCCCAGTGTTGCTCAATATTGAATTGATGTTCTTTTTCATAGATGAAGTTAGCCCAATAGTTCAAAGTCACAAGAAATTAAATCCAAAATTACTGTCTTTTCAAAAGTAAGCTAGACAGGTAAGCCCCTTCATATCTATCTATCTATCTCTCTATCTATCTATCTATCTAGCTAGCTAGCTAGCTAGCTATCTAGCTATCTATCTATCAAGCCTGCATTATCATCAGAGTAATGTTGCACTACAGTGAGTATAATAGGTTTTCCAAGTATTAGATTGTTTGCTGGAATGAAAGTATTTTGCTCTAGCTTAGAATAGTTTCTGTTTTTTATTAAAGCATCTAATGAGGAGCAAACTCAGTAAACAAGTAAGTTGATAGCACAACAAACCTGCTAGCTCTCATCCTGTGTCAGGTGCTCTAGATTTGGTGTTGTTATTATAATTGAGGGCTCTATGGAGTATTTTTGTAAAGATAACAGATATAATAATTAATTATTTCACAATGTCCTTGTTTGACTTGATACATTTTTATCACAATAACCTTGTCTGTTTTATTTATCTTCAGATGCTACCAGAGAGAAGGATAATAAAGATGAGAAGGATGCTATAGACGTAGCTGACGGGGACACCAAGGTATGCTAATCAGCTTATTATTATATTAATATATATAAATATATATATTATTTTGATATATATTTAATTCTTAATTAATATATTGATTTTTTAAATTGAACAGATATATTATTTCCAATTTTTATTATATTGTTTAAAATTTTCTATATTTATGGAGAAAGAATACTCAATATCAAGCATAAAATATAAATATAAATATATATATATATATATATATATATATATATATATATTTGGTTGGATAGCGATCGTCAGACAAATGTTAGCTCTATCTCTGATATTGAGTGCTTTCTAATAAGTACCGCGCATATAATATATAAATAATTATACATATATATATTTATTTATATTTATATACACTTTTCACATATATATATATATATATATATATATATATATATATATATATATATATGGATATGAACAGTGTGTGGTCTGGTGATCACTTCAGTCATGTAACTGACAGTGACCCTGTAGTGTTGATTTCTATGTTTTTAAATACTGTATATATTCATGTATAAGCCAACTTCATGTATAGAGCAGCCGCTGATTTTTTTCTATGAATTTTAATCCCTACAGAAAAAATTTACCTTTGTATATTGCAACAAGTCACCAAAAAATACATGATCTGTAGCCTTTTCAAAAAATTTACCTGTGTATAGTGTGACCCCTACTTTTGCATAAAAAATGATCATAAAAACTTGCACTATACTTGAATATTTATATGGTACTAAATTTCACCCAGTACAAATCTTGAGAGTCACAAATAAAATGGTAATGTTGAATATGACGTGTAATGGGTAGATATAGTTTAAAATTTGGTATCTCAATATTGGAGATAGAGCATTCATAGATATAGAAAGTATGGGCATAAGAATCAACACTGCTTGGTGGCTGTCAGTTTCACACCCCAATGCAATCTTCACACCAAGTGCCACTACTCCTTTAGCAGGCTGTATATATAGATCACTGGGGGAGTAAGGGAAGTGGAGGAAGGAGGAAATCAGATTTTCCCATTACTTTTGGTTAGCACTAATGCATAGGGTTATTTATGGTCATGACCTCTAGATTGCTTGTTTACACTGGTTCAATGGTTGGAGGATGCAAATCAATCAGCATTATTTATGGCCATGACCTCTGGATTGCTTATTTATATATTTATTTATCAGTTATTTATTATTTTATTTGCTTATATATTCATTTATTTACATTTATCGAGCCCAAACAGCCCAGTGAGTTTTCAAATTAATTTTAGCTCAAGCCACAAAAGGCCATCTCTCAGGCAGAAAGAGGTTGGGGTCATTACCCAGTACTTGAGGTGTCCCCAAAATGGGAAGTGCTGAGGTGGCTTGTCAAATTTGTGCAATCTGAGCATACAAATAAATACCATATTCATTTATTTTTTGTTTTTTATATTTTTGTGCATACTTTTCCTTGATTCTAAATGTTGATATCTATATACAAATTTATTAAATTTATGTTATGGGCTTTCTTTTGTACTTTTTGGTCAGGATGTGGTTGTAATAAACTGAGAATCACCATACTGTGTTGATTCCTATGGCCACACTTTCTATATCTATAAATGTTCTAGCTCCAACATTAACACTTTCTCTATAAATATATAAAATTTTAAATAATATATATATATATATAATGAAAAAAATCCCCAAAGAGCCAGGAACTACCTATCTAGGTTCATCTAAACAGATCTTCAGGGTAAACTGGTACTGGTTACCCTGAAGATCTGTTTAAGTGAAACCTAGGTAGGTAGTTCCTGGGTCTTTAGTTTTTTGTTTTTTTTTATATTGAGCACTTTATGTTTTATCTTAGTGACTTGATTGGGTTTTTTTTTCTTTGGACTGGAATTTTCACCCTGCTCAGATGTTCCTTGTTCTTTTTTTTTTTCCAATTTTTTCTCAGATACCAATATGTTTCAATATAATTGTATCATCTTGGTTTTCACCAACCAAGTATAGTTACCAATATATATATATATATATATATATATATATATATATATATATATATATATATAAAGGTATACTATAATTATGGAAGAAAAGTGATCAATACCAAAAACGGAGCATATAAGTAGTGTGAACATAGGTATCAAGACTGAGTGGCCTTACTCTTGCATTTAAGCATGAAACAAAATGTCATCTTCCAGTATGGATACCTACATTCATACTATATATATATATATATATATATATATATATATATATATATATATATATATATATATATATATACTGAAAAGTATTTGGTTGAGCCCACTTTCCAAAAAATCTAAATAAATAATAGATTTTTTGAAAGAATTTCTTGGTCAGACCAAGAATTTCTCAGAATCCTTAACTTATAACATAGACAAGTCATGACAACCCATACTTATGGCTGTTGTGATATAATCTAGTACATGTGTACTAAATATGTTCTATTGATAGGGAGACTGCTTAATAATGGATGCACAGTCACTTCATATGCATATCAGGGATTCCCATCCTTATCTTGGCTTACCTTGGGCAGCGGTCAGTTAATACCAATATCCTGTAAAGTATAAATAAACCTGTAATTCACTTTTATATTCATAGATCCAGCAGCTTTTAAAGCAGAAAAATCATCAGTAGGCACCTCTGTACACTTTTGATGAGGCAGTATGTGTCAACAAAAATGGACAAAACATTTTAATTTCATTAAAATAATATTTGTCATTTATAAGAAGAATGACAAAAGGACATTCTGACATAAAAAGTATTTGTATCCAGTGTATTGACATGGACATTTTTTCTCTTTGGAAAGTAAATTTCCTTTTATTTTTTTTTCTCTGTTTATGAACTATTATATTTTCTATATTATTTCCTAATGATAAGAACCATGTGACATTTCAATAATAAACTGAAATATTTATCATTAACCTCATAAATTGAAATGTCACATGGTGTTTATCATTAACCTTTTTACTACTGTTTATGTTTTCTGACAAGCAAAAACAAAGAAACAAATTTTTACAACACTAATGTTAAATGACATTACACTACAGGAAGTATTTGAGTTATATCAGAACCACCTTGGCTTAGAACACATTGGACAGAACAGAGCACATATGGCGATCACTTTATATATATATATATATATTTATACACGTTTCATTAAATAATATAGACAAGTGTTGTCTATTTATTTTATGTAAATTTTGTTCGTAACATCTGATAAGTTTGATAACATTATCATTAAACGAAGAAAGAAATTCACAATATTGATCCATATTTTTTTTAATATAATCTAAGCTTTGGGCTTACTTAAGCCATTATCAAAGATGTAAATTACAAACATATTAAACAATATACGGACACGACAGTGATGATAGTCTGTCATTGTTTACATAGATAATCTCTAAGCAACGATAAACACACGCATATAAGACGCTAGAAGCGAAAATCGCACCGCATCTCATGACGTCACACATGACCACACGAGAGTGAATTGGAGAATGAAGTATGGAAAGCCGTTGGTATGAACCAATGGCTTCTGTTACCAATTATAGACATTTAAGAATATTTGTAGAGATGCCATAATTGATTTTGTTTAAGTTGGGTTTTAACTGTTTGATGTATAATGCTTCAAGTATTTTTAGTTTTTGTCTATTGTTTTCATGTCGAAGTATAGTTGTGTTTTCGACAAGTATTTTTACGGAATTGTGTGTGTGGGCAGGCATGTTGTTTTAAATGCCTAAAAAAATGTTAGAGTTTTCATTAAAATGTAGTGTCAAGCGTCGTGAAAGTGAGTTTGTGGTGTGACCAACATAAATATTATTTAATTCGTTGGAGATACACTCTCCCAAAGGGCACTTGAATTTATAAACTATGTTGGTTTTTGCAAATCGCTAACCGGGGAGAAGAATCGACAAAAAATATTGTTGGATATACTAGATTTAGTGTAGTATATGATTAATTTAATTTTTTTGCTAGGATCTGTAGTTGATATATTAGAATTTACTAAATTTTTTAGTATATTTTCATCTTGTTTATAATTAGTATGCATTTGATTACGATATAGGAGATTAATATATTTGAGATCAGTAGAAGCAGTATTATGTACAATTTGCTTATTATTAAGATTCCTAAGAAAGCATCTTATTTGTTCATCAACTATATAGTTTGGAAAGCTATTATTAATAAGTGCCTCTTTTATATTCTTTAGTTCACTGTAAAAAATCTGTTTTGTGGATGAATTAGTTTCTGCACAATGTATTAGATTCTTTATAATTGCTATTTTGTAGTAATATGGGCATTCGCTCTTGTAGTTAAGTGTACATGAATTTATGCTGGTAGGTTTTTTGTATGGCGAAATAGTAAATTTGTTATTATTTGTGTTTATCAGTATGTCAAGGAAGGGGATTTTATTATTAGTATTGAGTTCATATGTGAATTTAAGGACAGAATTATTTTGGAACCGTTTTTGAAGTTGAATTATTTCATCTGTATTTTTAACATAATTCAACTTCAAAAACGGTTCCAAAATAATTCTAAAACAACAAAACATAG